GCAGTGGCTCATCCACTGCAAGGTGCTGCCCGCCAACCACCGGGTGACCTGGGACTCGGCGCAGGTGTTCGACCTGGCGCAGACCCTCCGCGATGGAGTCCTGCTCTGCCAGCTGCTCAACAACCTCCGGGCGCACTCCATCAACCTGAAGGAGATCAACCTGAGGCCGCAGATGTCCCAGGTAAGGAGGCCGGCGCGGGCGCCCCCGCCGCCAGCCGGCATCTCCCATTAATCATCCGGCTAATTTCTTTGTGTAAATGCAAACATCTAGGTACGCTTAGCTTGCCCTGCCTCGCTGCTTCTGCTTTGGGGACCACTTCGGTTTTTTCTGTCTTGGCTTGGGATGGTTTAGCTCTTTAGCTGAATGCTAAAAGCCTCTCCTTGCGTCCGGAGATGATGTGGAGATTTCATAAAGGCTTTCTGTGAAGCGGGAAAAAACAAGTTGTCTTAGCGTGCCCTTCACCTCGCTGCCTCTCTGTCTCTCGTTCTCTCTGTCCGTTTGTGTAAGGCGACAAAGGGAATCCGATCCAACTCTCCTGTAATAACGATGGGGAGGGATGAACCGAGCGGAGGGGGTCATTTTGCCTTTAGTCTGTTCTCTTGCTTTGCGTTTGGTCCTGTTTTCTTAAAAGAGGAACCATGACATAAATGAGAACTCTAGGAAGTGGAGGGCGTTCGGTACCGTTATCTGTGCAGGAATGACACTGGGCAAAGGGAGGAAAAGGGCGCAGGGCACAGAGGCTGTCCTGAAGGCCAGCTGGCAAGCTAGATGGCTGTGTTTACAGCTCTTCTTAAACCATGTGAGGAGGAGCGAGGCCAGCTTCTCTAGCAGCGACAGGAAATGAGAAGTTTCACTAGAGATTCCGCTTTCCTTCGTTCAGGGCTGTGCTCAGGTGGTGTGGTGCACTTGGGTCCGGTGGCTGGAGCCTTGCCTGGAGGTGCCTCATGAGGGATTTTTTTTTTTTAAATGCAACGTTGGAAGGCTGTGTGCACCCTCGTGTCAGCTCTGAAGGCTCAGTTTAGTGGAATAGTAATTTCTCGGTCCTGTTGGGAAGTTTTTGTGCAGAAGGATGTTAAACATGATTCAGAACTTCTATTTTCCCTTTCACAATGTAAAAAAAACAACTTTCAACTTGAAAGAGAGAGGAGAGTTCTCTCCATGACACATTTCAGCACCAATCCTGTATGATGTATTGCGGCAGCTACTTAGCAACTGAGCAGTGGTTTTTAAGAAGGAACTGGTTCTGTGTGACTTAATAATTATGTATTTAAAGTTAGAGCACTCACGCTCCTTCTGCTCCTCTTTGGTTCTCGGAGTTAGTGTGTCATCAAGGTCCCTCTGCACTTCAAATTCTGCATCCCTTGCCTCTTTGCCTTCAGTCTGCTGGTGGGCAGTCCTCAAGGAAGAATCGGTATGTCAGTGATGACAGCCATAGGTACTTTAAACCCAGTTTATCTTATACATTCTTGTAAACATGCTTGGTGACAGCTAACTCTATGAACCCCTTTAAAATTGTCCCAACTCTGGATCTCCCTTTGAGGAATTTAACAAACATTTCTATTATGGTGGGAGCTGCTCTCCTGACTGAAGTTCCTTCAGTCCCTGCAGTCCCACAGGTCTTTGTTTTACCTTGCCTGTATCCTCAGGAGGCAGCCTGGGTCAGGATGCCTTGGCCCCCCCCAGTAGGGACTGCAGGTTCCTGGGATTCCCAGTGGTCGTTCATTAAATTGTTCTCCATAAGTTTTCTCAATACCCAAGGATCTCTTTTTTTAACCTTCAAACTTTCACTTGAATGTTAACAATGGGTGAAAATCTTTTTGAAGGCATTTTGCTCTTTCTTCTTCTCGTAGAATATGTTACATATAATTTCATCTTTTTCATGATTAAGGATTGTTATTGTAAGCAGCATTAAGGAAAACTGAGCACATACAATGCTCTTGAGAGCTTTATTCCCTACTGGAGATACCACAGTGAATGCACCAGGATGTTAGCCCTAAAGGAATTATGACCCCGTGAAGTTAGATAAGCCTCCAGCTTACGATGAGGTAAGTAGGACAGCTAAATGACCTTCCTCAGAGTCTGCCCAGCCCTGCACTTTCTGGCTCCAAAAGTGGTGCAGTTTTCCTTGTAATGTCCTGTGAGTGATGATTTCTCTCAAACCTGTGTCCTGGAAGGCTATTACCTGAATATGATGATATCTGTTTTTGCTTCTGTGGTTCTTGGTCACATGCAAAGAGAGAAAGTTGTTGAACAAGAAAGTGTTAGGTCAATGAGTTTCTATCATACAGATTGTCATTACCTCCTTAAATGAGTCGTAGTAAGTGGGTTTATGAAACAAGTTGTCATATTTAAGATGTCTACAGTACATACGACCTACTTAAAAAATGTTAGCAGAGTTACTGGAAACATTTTTTTCCTGCTGTTGTCAAATTAAGAGTAGTCTGTTATAATAAAAACATTTAAAATGATTGCAAAGGTCTAAAAGTTCCTTTGGACAACATCCCTGAATATTTCTGCCTCTAACTAGTCATGTATGTTTTGAAATATCCTAGCCACTCATGGTTATAAGCCCACCCCATCAGTTCTATTCAGACTATATAGTGAATAACCTATTAACCTAGTACAACTCTGACATGCATCCCAGTAGAGATTACCCTTCTGAAGTTAGAAATGTTAATACTAGTACTTGTAACTTTTTTGGCTGTGTCTAAGAGGCTCTCTATTTACCTAGCTTGGCTTCTATTGAAGATACTGATTTCACATAGACTTATTTCCTTATAGTACATAATCTGCGAAGCTGGGAAATAACTAGAAGCTCTCATTTGAGAGTTTTATGGCATGTTGAGACTGTTAAAAGCAGATGTTGACAAGAGAAAATTTTGTTTATTGATGTTTTGCTATCACATTTAGTTTTCCTGAAAGAGACTATGAAATGACTAGTCTCTTTTAATAAGAGTGTTTATTCCAGTGAGTGGGATGTTCTTCCATTTAGTTTTTCTTGGCCTTCTGCCTTGTTTGCATTAAAAAAAAATAAATACCTCTAAAAATAATTATTCACTTATAGATTTGAGAATCTTAAAAAGTTCATTGATTTTCCTTCAAAATAAAAGGATTCATGAGATCCCAATGATCTTACTGTTATTCCTGCCTGTGTGAACATCAGTCTCATTTTGGTCTTGACATTTTGATAAGAAGATAATCTTTGGGTCAACTTGAGATGAGGTGGATGAGGGGGCTGGATCCCACATGGCTAACTTTGCAGTTTGAGTCTTGGACTCTGGCCTGAAAAACATGTCAAGTGTATGTGCATGCATGCCTAAAATCCCAAGAGAAGAATTGAGGAGAAGGGATTGTGGTGTGACCATCTTCCCTGGGGGGGGGGGGGGTGTTTCTGTCTCTCTTTCCAGTAAGCACATGTGTACTATAGCAAAAACAAACAAACAAAAAAGATAATCTTCAGTTCAAAGATTGGTATATTAGAAAACTCCCCTTTAGATTTTGTTTTTATTTATAATGGGTTAAAGAGGTAAACATATAACTCAATGTGATTGAGTTATACGTGTAATATGTTCTTCTTATTATTAAGAGTTCATAGGACCAGCAGTTAGCGTAATGGCTATGTTGCTGGACTCCCATGTAGACGACCGCGGGTCAAATCCTGGACCCGATGGCTTAAACTCATGCCAGGTGCGTGTATGTGCATACCCAAGATCCCGAGAAGAGAATAGAGGAGAAGGGATTGCGGCGTGGCCATCGCCCCTGGGGGGTGATTTCTTGCTTTCTGTCTTTCTGGCAATCGCATGCGCTATATAACAAAAACCTCTCCGAAAATAAAAAAAAAAATTAAAAAAGGAATTCAATTAATAAAATCCAGATCATCATAGAAAAATCCAAGAAATTTGGTATCTGTGTATATTAGACAGGTTTATTTTTCAATTAAAGCAGTATTCTAGCCAGAACACAAAGAACATGAATGATTCTGGAAGAGAAGAGCCTACCAATAATACTTGTACCAGCAGGTACCTGTGGAAGGGCATGAGTTACTGACTTGATGTTATTTTCGGTGATTAAGAAGGACTTCATGGGTGCAGCCATGGTGCGCAAACTGTAAGGCACACTGTGCAAGGCTGAGCCGAATGGGAGGCCCAGGCGCACTTCCTGGGCCAACCTGGGCAGGCCAGCTGCTTGTGCTTCTCGCTAACTGGGAGGCTGGGGCTGATCTCACAGTGAGATCCTGTCAAAAATATCTACCTTTCTCTTTGTCTCCCCCTACCCCTTTCTTGTCCTTTCCCCTCTATGCTTCCTCTCCTTAAAAAAAAAAAAAAAAAAAAATCCCACTATATTCTCCCCCCCCTAAAAAAAAAAAAAAAAAAAAAGACTCCATAAATGCTTATAACCAACTATAGATCTGTCATTAATGAGATTATCTTAGTCTTATTATTTCAAAATTTAAAATTTTGATCCACACTATGTCTTTGAGTGGGAGATTCATTCTATGAATTTGCTGACCAGTATATGTAAACTGTGAATCATCTTAAGATGGATTATGCAGGATTCGAGGCGTCTTTCAACAAATATTTACTTGTTCCTGTTATGTGCCAGGCACTGTTCTAGACACTGGCCTGGAGCAGTAAACAAATTCAATAAATTCTGAAGTTCAGAAATAGATTTTAAAAAAATAATAGTATACATGTTCTGTGAACTTTTTGACCATCCCTTGTATATCATGTTCTGTGAAGACATATGAAGCTGAGTAAGGGCTAGAGAGAAAAATGTGATGTGATTTTGTGGGAGGTAGTCAAGAAAACTCTCTCAGAGGAGGTGAGCAAATAGGAAGAGAATGAGGGAATGTAGGATTGTGGCAGTATGAAAGAGAAAAAGAATATTCCCATGAGAGAGAATACCAAGTGGGAGCATCCTGAGATAATCAACTGGCAAGCATAGTAGAGGAACAGCAGGAAGATGAGGTGGCTGGAGGAGAGTGAAGGAGTGGTAGGGATGATTTCAGGGCGAAAAGAGGAACCTGCATTTTAGGACTCAGTGGGCCATTGTAAGGATTTTGGCTTTCACTAAGTAAAATGGAAAGTCAAAAGATGGTTTGAGTAAAGGAGGAACATGGCCTTGCTGGCCTTCAAAAAGATCTCTCTGGCTGCTGTGTTGAGAACAGACCTTTGGGGACC